TGTGTACTACCCTGTAAACAATGGAACAGAATCAGAGCTGTTATCAGTTGTCATAGCTCCACTGACTTCACTATAACAGTTTACAGGACCTGGGATGTGCCAGAACGGCCAGAATGTCTTTTCATTCTAGGTCACTTACTGCTGCACAGATTTTCATACCCTCATTCATGCTTGCTCCATGTATTTGTTAGTACTTCTCATGCACTAGGATTTCACCCGTTATGGGGGACTTTTATCTCCAGTGAAATCTGTGGAGATTTACTGTTAACTTAAATGGGCCCAGAATATCCTGAGAGTATGCAGAGCCTAGCATATTGAGAGATCACACTATAATTGGTGTGATATTGTCATAGCTATCGTGTGAAAATTGTCATCAGTATCTTTAAGAAACTGTACATTTTGAGTGTGTAGGTCATTTTAAAAACACTTCACCAATACAGGAATTAGAGAGAAGTTATTAAAATCTATATCATATATTAAGTTCAGAACACAGAATGGAAATTCCCATTAAATGGGAGTCAGAAAATGGCATTCAACTACCATAAAGATGAATGTTTTAGGAATTAAAATGCCATATTCAAGAATTATATCCTCAAAGCATCACCCCTCCCACTCCCATATCCTTTTCTACTGAGGTTTCACCAGGTCTAAGTTTTTCAGTATTGAGCTAAATTCTGTTTGGGTTTATTAATTATCTGTAGGCTACAGGGAAGTTGTAGCAATACAATCAAGGGACACAGAAGAACCACACTGGTATTAGCAAAATGTCAGCAATCTCTAAAAGAGAACCCTTCATATGTCAGTACTGAATTCATGCTAAGATTTAGAACTTATATTTACAGAGAAGTAAAAAAAAACCTAAGAAACAAATTAGAAATATTTGAGGAAGTATTATCATGCCTATGTAAGCTGAATGGAAGTCAGTGTACCATTCTAGCAACTTTTTAGGATTTCATTCTATTCCTTTTAGTAGAATTCCTTAGGAATTGGACAAAGCCTTAAATTTTATGTCATATAGGCCACATCCAGATGAGTGTGGACGTTTGGTTTCCTGGGGACAAGTAGCAGTGACACTCTGGTGCTGGCAGCCGTGCTGAGTATGAAGGTCATTTTAAAATCACTTTACCAGTACAGGACTTGGAGAGAAGTTATTAAAATCTGGGTCATATATTAAGTTCAGAACACAGAATGGAAATTCCCATTAAACAGCAGTCAGGAAATGGCATGCCACATGTGCTCTGGTGTTGCCAACTGTGCTGGCCTCAGCAAACTTACCTGGGGCCTTGGGGGCCAGGGAAGCTGCAACTGTATCACTCCTGCGGCTGGGAGCCTGGCCATCAGCCAGACTGTGGCTCTGGATGACCAGGCTCCTGCTTTGGGCAGTGCACACTGCCGCTCCACTTTTTTCTGCGTGGGGTTTTTTGCCCCCAGGATGTCTTGGGATCAACACCCCCCCACCACCACACACACACAACAGGTAGCAGCATGGGGAACACCTGAATTTGCAGTGTGTAGCGCTACAGATAGGTCTGTGGGGGCCACGTACTGCATGGCCGTGCTTGTCTGGATGCAGCCATAATGTTATGCAGTGTGGAAATGTTAGTATATTAAAATCCCTTTTTGATGTCATATATATTTAAGACGCACAGTTCAGTATGTTCTGTTGAATCTATTGAAAGTCTACAAATAATCTTATATTTAGTATAAGGAATAAGTAATTGTGATATAAATGATACAAAAGGAATCTGCTGAATACAAAACTCCTCTGCATGATTAGTGCTGCAAACTTGAGGAAAATATGAGGAATTTTCACTGAGAGTTAGCCATGAGTTTCTCTTTTCTGCTCATATATAATTTCAGCTCTGATGGTGCAAGCTCACATGATCACATGGTACTAAAGTCTTCTTGATCCTTTGATGAAGTCTGATCAAGTATCTGAATGAGTGAAAATCATACTGCAAGTGCTGTTTTTAAAAGAGACACAATCAAGACTATTAGTAGGAAGGAAATACCAAAAATTAAATTAAGGCTTGTTGGCATTTTCACACTGATGGTCAAACTTTAATTTTTTTACTAAAAAAGTCTATAAACTGAACAGTATAGAATGCCTGCAATGTGTCTTTATACTTTGTGAACAAGAATGTATATGGTACATTCAATTCATCTTATTTCCAAAGAGTAGTCTATGGCATTCCACTTACCACAGAATGATCAAGAAGTAATTTTGACTGAGCAGAATATATCACTTATAGATTTGTTAGAAAAGGTTTTTCATAAATTCATTTGCAAAATAAATCCTGCTGTTTTACAAAGAAGAAGAGTCAATTAAATACAATATTTTATTAATAATAGCATCAATTGCAATTTATCTGGCATGTATATGGTTTTCAAACATTTACTAGTTCGAAAATGCTGATAATCAAAGTTTAAGTAAACACATTCAAGTGCACTGCTTCAATTTGAAGTGCACTGTACCTGCTGAATCAACTGAATATTTCAAAGCTAATGTTAATACCATGATTTGTTCACTTTACCTCTCAAGAATATTATCCCTCTTCTAGCAACAGGGGTGTCCAAACTTTGTTTAAAATTGTCAAAATGCCAGGAGACTGAGCCATATGTACATTACACATGAGGTAAAGAGATCAACATTTTCAAACTGGGACAGCTCTGAGTACTTAGGCAGCAAAATAAATGGCCTGATTTTCAACAGCCAACATTTTAAAACCAATGCACATATCTATAACATTTGTGAATTCTTGCGTTTTCCTTCCTAGAATAGTATCTTCAGATATTTGTAAGGTTTACCCGTCACTGATACCTGAATGCCTGCCATAGAGCATGAATGATTTTTTTCTGTTTATGTACACATTTAAATGTTGTTTGCTGGTTGAATTTACAGGCAACAAAACCATGAATCTGAGCAATTTCTTAACCCTGTGATTGAAGGGAGAGAGCGACACTTGCTTTGGGGACTGCCCTATAGACACCCATAAATTACATGGAGGGGATATGCCAACCTGAACGTTGTGCAAATCATGCATGAATGCTGGCCAGCAAACAACTTGTTATCTTGCCTCTTCTCAAGCATGTTGATCAAATGGTTGAACAGCAGGGAAAATTATGCACAACCTTTTAAGATAGCCTCCCAACAGACACACATACAGTTGGACTTGTCAAACTAAAGGCCTCATTCTTGGCTTCAGCAAGCAAGGTTCGGTCTTAACTGCTATTTTGTTGGTATCTGTTGTTCATTCATTGAATTTTAACCAGCGTTTACTAGTTAGCAAGAGGGGAAAAACACCTGTAAAGGAAAATAATCTAGGTAGATAAGTCAGGGTTTTGGCTCCCTTCCATCATTTTGTCTTGTATCGATTCTTTGTTATTCTGTTCACAATGTGTCCACCAAGGGAATTTCCTTCTCAGGATTCCATTTCCTCCATCACCTCCATGACAATAGTTCGAGGGCCAGTCAGAATGAGATTGCTCACTGTCCTGTAGTCTGCATGGAGAACATTGAGTCCATTGACAGAAACCACAAACTGACAGACCTAGCAGGAAAAGAGAAGACACAAGCAGCCATCCATTAGCGCTGCTCTGTATGACTGTTTACTGATACACTATAAGCACCATGGTCCAAAATATTCGTAAAGCACTTTGGAATAGCTATGTGTGGCACCCCTTAAATATTCTACAGTTCTAAAGGTTTCTACCTTTTACAGATTAATTTTCTATTACTGAGATGTGAAATATCACTGGGCATGGCAGGATCTTCCAAAACTGTGGGATTCTAAGCAATCTGACTACACCTGGGGGGGGGGGCGGTCAGCCCCCAGTCCATGGGCCAGATCCACCCTGCAGTGCCGTGTCATTAAGCCTGCCAGACTTCCACAGGTCCGGAAATTTGGTGGTGGGGAGGGAAGTGGTGGCAGCATTAATTGCTATTTCCCTGCTGCCAAATTTCCAGACTTGTGGTGAGCCTGGCTAGATCAGAGGTGCAGGACTGGGAGGGTGTGAGCCCAATTCCCACAAGAGAACAAGCACAAGGATTAGCCCCCCACCACTCATCTGGCCTGCAGGGCCAAAGGGCTGAACACCATTGAAATACCTCATTTATTTTCTTTATAAACACTAAAATTTACAGCAGGGGTGAGAAAAATATGGCCCATCTGGAGGAGGGGCACATCTGGGCCACCAATTGATTGTATCCAGCCCATGTCTGCCCCTGCAGCATTCTGCATGGAGTCAAGCCCCTCCTACTCCTGCCTGGTGCAGCCTGCACCATGCTCCTGCCTGCACCTGCCCCATGCCCACCAACAGCACTACCCTAGCCCTGGCCAGTGCAGCCAGCATGCAGAGTGCTGCTGCTGCAGCCATTCGGGGACTGCTCAGATCCCCCTGTCTCCAGAGGCTCCTCCTCCTGCCCCTGCTGCCTGCTTTGGGCAGCAGGTAGCACGGGGAAGCAAACAGAGTGGGGGCAGACCACAATGCACTGAACTGGTCAGCTCTGCTGCATGTGCCCCATGCCTTTCCCCCCTTCCTTCTCTCCACCCCTGGCCAGCTCCCGGGATCTAGCTCACAAGCAGTCTCCACTGCATCATGCGCACCCCCTCCTACTGCCCCCCACACCCTCCCACCCAATATACTAAAGTAAGACTTTATTTTGAGCTATTATGCAAGCACCTCTAGATACACTACTCAAAAAAACATATATCAGGACAACAAATATTTTTTATCAAATTTAAATATTCTATAGTAGTTTTTTTATTTTTAGTAAATGATTTGTATATCTATGATTTGGTAAATAAATTATAATTTGTTAAATTGTATTTTCTAAACATTTTATGTGTGTGGCACTTGACAGCTCACCAAAACTTGTTAAGTGGCCTGCCAGCTGAAATAATTGCCCACCCCTGATTTACAGGGTACTTTACTGACACGCTGCATAACTAGGCTCCAGTCTACAATCTGAATCCCTAGTCCTGCACTGTTATACATATGCTTAATTCAGGCTTCCTGTAGAGTGCTATGGAAATCAATAAAACCATTCACAGTTGTCAAACTAAGCACGGGATTAGAAATTTTCAGGATTCAGGCTAAAGGTGAAATGTTTCTCCCATTTGAATAAATAGTAAAATTTCCATTGACTTAAAAGACACCAATTTTTTCTGAGAGATGCTGGAATGCCTGTAATCAATGGAAGTTAGACATTTAGCACTAGAGATGGTCAAAACATGAGTTGGGCGTTTTTGCAGAAAATCCTTAGGAAAAATCATTTTTTCTTACTATCCTATAGACACTATGATTTTTCATTGAAAAACTGAAACATGAGAAAGTGAAGCATTTTTAGCTTCAATTTCCCTATCTGTAAAATTTGTTTGCATAGGTATTTTCATATTGTCTTTTGAAAATTGCTCTAAAAGATGATAAATGTTCTTAGAGATGCAAGATTTACAAAGCAAGAGTTTTTTTTTTTAATAGTTGGGAGAGATGTTAAGTAAGTTTGAGGGCTCAAACGCCCTTCTCATCTAAGAAGGAAACAGATTACGCTTAAGATAAATACCAGTTAGGACAATTACTTTTATTAACTTTATGTTAATTAATGTAATTGCCTAAAAAAGGAAGCATACAGTAAACCACTCTGTTTCCTATCTCACAGTCCTCAAGGGAAACTTTCACAAAACCAGGCTGCAAACAGAGATCATAACATAAGTACATACCAAAAACTATGGACTCAATCCACACAGAGGTTTTATGGCTCATTATAACTTATCTATTCTTTCTGCTAACCTCTCTCTGCTCCACAGGTGATAACCACCCTCTTCCCTTTTGATTGGTCTTATTCATCAACATAGTATATACAACTATAGCAACAATCTTTACTTGGTCTATAACATAATAGGATTAAATGAAAAAAATTGTAAGTCAAACAGGACAGTATTCACTTAGGACTTTTTCAAGCTAATCAGCAGGTCAGCTGGTAATGTACCTCCATTCCTTCCTTGGAAAAAAACTGTTTAAGAAGAGCTTATACTAATGAGAGAGGCTTTTGTTTTGTTGATGGGCTGATAAATGCTGTTATCAACTCCCTGCTGCCCCCCTTGCTGGTCAGGAGCAGCAAGAGGGCGGTGGCACTCCCTAATCAGAGCATCCTGCCAGGGTCTGGCCATGCCCCTCCTCAGCTCAGCACTATAGAAGGGAAGGGAGGGCTGCTCTAGCACCCGCTGACTTCTAGCCTGAGCTACAACAGGCATATGCCTACATTTCTTCAGTCCAGAGGGAATGGCTGTACAGTAGCAAACTGATTCAATGTAGGCAGGTTAGACTAACCTGCAAAGATTGCATCGATTCAGGCTCAGGCTTTCTGAATGTCTACCCCTAGCCCTGGGGTTCATGGACTGTAGCCTTGGTGGGAAGCTGGACATTCAGCACATTTTAGGAATCAGCTACATTAATTTAGGCAGTTTTATTGTGGTTTAACTGTATCCACACTACAAGTGCTACTTTTCTGTGTAGAAAAGACTTTTGTAAATTTCAAAACACTTGGCTGAAAAAAATTATCTCACCAGCCTGCCTGAAGTGTGTCCTTAACTAGCCTTCAGAAGGTATACCCATTTAGCTTACAATACAGATTTTGACTGTGCCTAAAAGCTTCTCCCAACTCCCACAGCATTGTGAAGACCTTCTGTGCCTTTCCAAGATGTCATCAAGTTTTACTGAATTATTACTTTGGCTCCAGTATAATATTTCTGTTCACTTAAAACAGAGTTACAAAAACAACATTGTCTGTTCTTGCTTAATGCAATTTTTGGATGTTGAATGGCTGACATTTATTTTACTGCTGTATAAGCTAGAGTACAACTTATCTGGGAGGTTTGCTTGTTTTGAAATACTGCCTATTTAGTATTAATCATATTTATTACTGTAGTACTTATGGGCCAACCAAGAATGAGGCTCCATTGTGCTACACCAATGCTTTTCAACCTTTTTTCATTTGTGAACCCCTAAAAATTTTTGAACTGAGGTGCAAACCCTTTTGGAAATTTCAAGTGGAGATGTGGATCCCTATGAATTATAAGTGTGGGTATTCACAGACTTTTGATTGATCATAGTCATCTTTCACAGATCTCTCAGGCATAGTATACAGACTTCTAGGAGTCTGCGGACACAGGTTGAAAACCACTGTGCTATACATTTTACAGAGTAGCAGAGTCCCAGCCTTGAAGAGTGTACAGTATAACTAGTCAAGAAAAGCCCTAGGCACCATAGAGATACTAAAATAGGCAAGCAGATTGAACAATTGTCACGTTAAATTCCACAAGTTTTGGAGTGGATTTAGTTAGTAGCTCATCTGAATGAGAAAAAAAGGGACATGATTATGAGTGATGGACTCAGAAGGTCAAAGAGGGGAAGAGGAACAGATTTGACATAAGCCAAGGTGGATAAACTACATGGGATAAGGAGAGAAAGGACTAAAGCAAATGGCAAAGAACAAGGAAAGTCCAGTCAAACAGTGTGAAATTCTCTGAATGTCACAAAATCTCAGCCTTGGCAGCTTTAGCAGCTGTTCTGGCTGGCTGGAGTTTGTCTCGCTCCTCTGCCATTTTTCCCCAAGGCCCCATACAGGAAAAGGCGAAGGAAACAGAGGCTTAACCTTGGTACTAGTGCCTCCATATTCTGTGTGTGGGGCTCCCCTGCACTGGTCCATAAGAATGCTAAGAAGAGGGGTAACCTTACTGGGCCTTGTTTCACTACCTCCACAGCAGCTTTTGCAGCTGCTTCTGGTAGCTAGAATCCCTTTTTTGATGCTAACGTGCAATCTAACCCAGGAGGTGCACAGCCCCACCAGGGGGGATGCCTTGTTGGACTTGGTGTTGTCCGCGGGCGATGACCTGGTGAGGGGGCTGCGGGTGCTTGACCCCCTGGGCGACAGTGACCACTGCCTGCTAGAATTCACCATTCAGCGCAAGGTAGCAAAGGCAAGCAGTCAGGTGGTGGCCCTAGATTTTAGGAGGGCGAACTTCAACGAGCTAAGGAGGATAGTTGGAGAA